GAAAACACATGTAAGCAACCTCAATAAGTCAGTTGAACAACAAACAACAGAAGAGTCAGTAACCTGATGGGCACGACAAATAAGATCCAAATCATGCCTTGTTAAGAACTCTGACACCCTATCAGGGCCAAATGTAAATGAAACTCCTCTATCATTCATTCCCTATCCCTTGACATCTCTACCAGGATCTGACCAGAGTAAATCACACAGTAAACCAGTGTCAGGAACAGGAGTAGGACGGGGTAAGTTTCTAATCAGATCCAAGTTTGTAAGATCAGGGGAAAGGCCACCATGCATGCACAATATCCTGTCATCAATGAGTGCGGCCACAGGAAGACAATTGAAACAATCAGTAAAGGACTTCCATATTTTCACATTAAACCAGCGTTTGCATTCATCAAAAAAACCATAGATGCGATTAATAGAAGCACATTCATGGTTTCCCCTGAGAAGAAAGAAGTTCTCTGGATATCTAATTTTATACGCAAGCAAGAGGCATATTGTTTCCAGACTCTGTTTGCCACGGTCTACATAGTCCCCTAAAAATAGATAATTGGATTGAGGAGGAAAACCACCATACTCGAAGAGCCTTAACAAATCACTATACTGCCCATGAATGTCACCTGAAATGAAATAAATAACTATTACATGATCAAGAAATAATAGTTATCACAATGCACTGCTATTCTGCACTTATGCTATGTTTGAATTTTACATGTGCACTTCAATGACTATCCATAGCATAAAATCCTTCATGAAATTGCGCTGAGTAAAGACAAATTGCAGTTTTATATGGCGTTATCCAATTACTAAACAATAACAACAGTGATGATGATGCAACAGTGAAGCTACAACTACTATTGGTAACTGCACTTCTGAACACAAATGCAGCTACCTCTAAAGTCGTAATTTGACACATAACCCACAAAAGCAAACTCACATTGTGACTTCCCAAATCACAGAAAACTACTATTAAATTCAAATTCAAAACTAACTCAAGCATTTTTGTTAATACAACAAGACAACTACTTAAAAATCTTTATAAGTTAAACCAACATTAACACAAGAAAAAATAATTGTTCGTGAACTAAATAGCAATGACAATGAGCACAGTGATGTTAGGAATTGACTCTTCCTAACCAAAATCGGTGAGACACAAAATAACAAACAAGGAAGACAAAATGAATCAAACAAATCACGCACACAAGAACATAAAAATTTACGTGATTCATCCCAGAATAGGGCTTCTTCGTCTATGGCTGCTACGGGTTTCACTATGATCAGAAAATTACAACTCTCTCTTAACTTAAAAGAGGCGCCCCACATTGATTTATAAGTATAAAATTAGGGTTAAGCAACATGGGAATTACGAAAGTATCCAAAAAAATTTGGCCCCAAACACCCCCCCCCCCATGAGAATTATGAAAATACCCAAAAAATTCGGACGGGTAAACCCCCCTTAGACCCCCTCCCCCTTGGGGGAGGCGCCCCCAAACCCCTCATTGGCCCAGTGTTTGAGTGAACATAGGGTTAAATGAACAGTACTCCACCAACCCAACAAGTGAAGCTACAACTACTATTGGTAGCTGCTCTTTCTAAACCCAAATGCAGCTACCTCCAAAGTCATATTTTGACACATAACCCACAAAAAACAAACTCATATAGTGACTTCCAAATCGCAGAAAGGTACTAGTAAATTCAAAAGTCAAAACAAATTGAAGCATTTTTTCGTTAATACAATAAAACAACTCAAAATCTTACTAGTCAAACCACCAAAACACGCCCCCCAAAAAAATAAAAAATAAAAAACTACAACTACTATTGGAAGCTGCTGTTCTGAACCCAAAAGCAGCTATCTCCAAAATCGTGATTTGACACAAAACCCACAAACTCAAACTCATGTTGTGACTTCCCAAATCGCAGAAAGCTAAAAAATTCAAGCAATTTTATTAAAATCTCATAAATCAAACCACCCAAAAAAATAAAAAAAATAAAAAACCTGAAAACAGAACAGTTAAAAAAATTATAATAAAAAAAAAGAAGAAGTTTTTGTTTTGTTTTTGTGCATCGATAAATACCGCAAATTTTGATGGGAGCTTCGAGTTCGAGGAGATTGGGCTGTTGGATGAAGATATCACGAGAGGCAACACAGAGCTGCTTGATCTCAGACTCAGAAAGCTGAACAAGCTTCCCTGGTTTCGTCGATCGGACTTCGATTAGCCTTTCGATTATCTTGTCCAACACTGCAGGGTCCATTCGTCCCCTTCCGTTGTGCGAAATTCCACACTTACGCCGCCAACAACAAAATCGAAACCCTACTTTGATCTCTCTCTCTCAGATTTTTTTTTTTTTTTTTTTTAATTTGTGAGTAGTTTTGTTTGGGTTCTGATTCTTTTGGTGGAATGAAATGAGAGGTGGTCGAGAAGAGACTGAGGAGACTTTTTTTCGTTTTCTTGAGATGAGAAATAATAACAGCAGAAAGCGAGACAAAGAGAGAGAAAAAAAAAAAGAAACAATATATAGAATCTCACAGATGGGCGCTTCGGAACGTGGCGTGGGTTTGGGTGGTCTGGGGTGGCCTAAATAACAACAATGATTTATCCCTCCTTTTCTTCCCATCTCCTTTGACCCCCTCTCTCTTTCATTAGTTACATTTTCTTTTTTTTCTTTTTTTTTTCTGTTCCTCCAATCACCACCCACCACGTGGCAGGGGGTGAGGGGGTGACCCCAAAAGGGGTCCCAAGCATTATTCCCTAAATAATTGTATTTTTTGTCTTTTTATAAGAAGGTATGTAAAAAAATAGAGATGTGATGTGATGAAAAAAAAATAAAAAAATAAATTATTTTATGTATATCAAATAGTTACTTTTTAATTTTTAATTTATTTTGAATTATATAGAATCTCATATTTTTTTTACATATTATTTTAAAAAATTAAAAAAATATTTTTAATTATTTTTTCAACTATGGTAGCTAGCTGTACTTCTGAACACAAATGCAGCTACCTCTGAAGTCGTAATTTGACAACAATTTTTTTTTTGCCTCCGATTGGGTATTAAATATTTTAGTTAAAAATTATTATATTTATTTTTTATTTTTATATATTTTTTTTTTTGTAAAAAATTAAAGAATTATTATTAAAATAATATATTCTCAAATGAGATTACGAAAAATTTAAAAAAAAATTGAAATTGTACGGGGAGTAAATATTCCGGCAAGCCCGTACTCCTTTCTTCCAAGCTCCTGCCTGCCTAATCGATCTGCGAGCACAACGGCGGTGACTTGCCCGGCGGTGTGGCGTCGGAATACCCCTCCGACGATCAAGTTAGACACACACAGGGATAGAGAGAGAGAGAGGATTGAGGCTTCGTTTGGGAATAGGTTATTTTAATAACTTTTTGACTTTTTATGAAAAGATGTGCAGAAAAATAGAGAGGTGATGTGACAACTTTTAGTAACTTTTTGACTTTTTTGCTAAACCCAAACGAGGCCTGAGTGTTTAGTGTAAATCTCACCAAATGTTCATCTGCCTCAGCGTGGGGGGCGCGGACTCGCTTATATACCTTCTGCGCCCCAAATCTACTACCATTAGTCTCTCGACACGTGGTGCTGCTATCCCATATGTCAACACAAATTTAGCTGAACATCACCTAACTGCCAGCCCACACCACTGGGAGCTCGGCAGCCGGGCTGCAGTATCTCGGCTGTCAACGGCCGTGCTGCGTAGCTAGCCAGAGCGCTCCGCTCGCCAAGCTCAATGACGATCGAGCTCGGTTGCATTCCGGCTTAGCCGAGCTCGGGATAAGTCATGCTGGTTAGCCGTTAGCCTTCCTGCCGAGCTAACGCATGAACTGTGGAACCCAGTGAGGCAGCAGACATCTCGGCCGAACCTCACTTGACCGCTAGTACGACATCAATTATGCAACTGTGCCATTACCGAGCGAAAATCCTTCTGGATGGGCCCAGGCTGCCACGGCCCAAATGTGTTCGGCCCCAAATCTTTTGACCAAATACTGCCTAAGAGCACCTAGATCCTCTTTACAAGACTAGTATTTGACGTCAATATGACACAATTCCAGTTGAAATTGATGCTCAACAATCAATGTTCAAATTGTACCGTTCCAAGAAAAAAACCTGTACTGTATCCAAGTGTTTTTAGATAAACCAAGGCTTCCTGTCTTCCATTATTGAACTGATCACCCTTAATCCACAAAATTGGAGCATAAATCTTCTTTCACAATTCTTCATCATTTACATATTACTAAAGATCCTCACAAGCAATCTTGCTTTCCAAATAACAAAAAAGGAGCAAACAAGTTCATTGTAAGGTATTTTCAAGGCCTTGTTTAGTTGTTTAGTTCTCAGAAACAAATAAAGAAATGAAAAGAAAATACCAACATATTTTATTTTACCTTTCTTGCTAAAGATGGAAAAGAGGATTGAAAAAAAATATATATAAGGGAACCATCAAAGGGGTTTATTTTCCTTTCTTTACTTTGTTATGGAAGCTACAAAGATTTTTCAATCTAGGGGAGTGGTTTTAGAACCCTTTTCGACTATAATTCATTCTCTTCATCTTCTCTCCCAAAAAAAATGGCCTCTTCAATGGTTTATTTTTCTTTGCCTCTTGTTTTGAGATGACAACTAAACAAGGAAAAGGTTTTATTTGCCTCTCCCTTGCATTAACTTTTTTTTACCTTCCACTATGTTCTCACTTCTCACCATTTATGAGAACAAAAATAAAAAATAAAAAACCAAATTTTCTCATTTGACCAAAATATTCCAATAGGAGACAAATAATGATACACTTCAGGAGTAAGCTGAAATTTAGAAGACCAAATGATGAATTTGATTTACTACAGAAGTTAATCATAACCCTCCCACCCCAACAACCCAGCAGCAAGCCAACAACATTATTTACTAAGGCAAGGAAATTTAGGTAATGATATTGACACGTGAACAGCAATATTAAGATGAGCGAAGCAATATAATGAACTGACCTTTTGGTCACGTTTTTGCGGACATCATGAACTTAGTTTTTTTCTCTGCTGGCTTGAGAATTTGAAATGAGCACATCAAATTTTCATCAACACTCATCATTGCCCCAGCATTGTCGAATTCACCACAGTAGTTGGGGGCTGAGAATATGGTTACAAGCTGCCTCTCAGCAAAGAATTCGTAACCATCCTCTACAACCTAGATCAGAAAACACATGTAAGCAACCTCAACAAGTCAGTTGAACAACAAACAACAGAAGAGTCAGTAACCTGATGGGCGCGACAAATAAGATCCAAATCATGCCTTGTTAAGAACTCTGACACCCTATCAGGGCCAAATGTAAATGAAACTCCTCTATCATTCATTCCCCATCCCTTGACATCTCTACCAGGATCCGACCAGAGTAAATCACACAGTAAACCAGTGTCAGGAACAGGAGTAGGACGGGGTAAGTTTCTAATCAGATCCAAGTTTGTAAGATCAGGGGAAAGGCCACCATGCATGCACAATATTCTGTCATCAATGAGTGCGGCCACAGGAAGACAATTGAAACAATCAGTAAAGGACTTCCATATTTTCACATTAAACCGGCGTTTGCATTCATCAAAAAATCCATAGATGCGATTAATAGAAGCACATTCATGGTTTCCCCTGAGAAGAAAGAAGTTCTCTGGATATCTAATTTTATACGCAAGCAAGAGGCATATTGTTTCCAGACTCTGTTTGCCACGGTCTACATAGTCCCCTAAAAATAGATAATTGGATTGAGGAGGAAAACCACCATACTCGAAGAGCCTTAACAAATCACTATACTGCCCATGAATGTCACCTGAAATGAAATAAATAACTATTACATGATCAGGAAATAATAGTTATCACAATGCACTGCTATTCTGCACTTATGCTATGTTTGAATTTTACATGTGCACTTCAATGACTATCCATAGCATAAAATCCTTCATGAAATTGCGCTGAGTAAAGACAAATTGCAGTTTTATATGGCGTTATCCAATTACTAAACAATAACAACAGTGATGATGATGCAACAGTGAAGCTACAACTACTATTGGTAGCTGCACTTCTGAACACAAATGCAGCTACCTCTAAAGTCGTAATTTGACACATAACCCACAAAAGCAAACTCATACTGTGACTTCCCAAATCGCAGAAAACTACTAGTAAATTCAAATTCAAAACTAACTCAAGCATTTTTGTTAATACAACAAGACAACTACTTGAAAATCTTTATAAGTTAAACCAACATTAACACAAGAAAAAATAATTGTTCGTGAACTAAATAGCAATGACAATGAGCACAGTGATGTTAGGAATTGACTCTTCCTAACCAAAATCGGCGAGACACAAAATAACAAACAAGGAAGAAAAAATGAATCAAACAAATCACGCACACAAGAACATAAAAATTTACGTGATTCATCCCAGAATAGGGCTTCTTCGTCTATGGCTACTACGGGTTTCACTAGGATCAGAAAATTACAACTCACTCTTAACTTAAAAGAGGCTCACCACATTGATTTATAAGTATAAAATTAGGGTTAAGCAACATGGGAATTACGAAAGTATCCAAAAAATTTTGGCCCCAAACACCCTCCCCCCCAATTGGACCTAGTATTTGAGTGAACACTAGGGTTGACGAGCGAACAGTAATTATCAGGTCCACCGACCCAACAAGTGTAGCTACAACTACCATTGGTAGCTGCTCTTCTGAACCCAAATGCAGCTACCTCCAAAGTCGTATTTTGACACATAGCCCACAAAAAACAAACTCATATAGTGACTTCCAAATCGCAGAAAGTTACTAGTAAATTCAAAAGTCAAAACAAATTCAAGCATTTTTTTGTTAATACAATAAAACAACTCAAAATCTTACAAGAAAAACCACCAAAACGCACCCCCCAAAAAAAATAAAAAATAAAAAAACTACAACTACTATTGGAAGCTGCTGTTCTGAACCCAAAAGCAGCTATCTCCAAAATCGTGATTTGACACAAAACCCACAAACTCAAACTCATATTGTGACTTCCCAAATCGCAGAAAGCTAAAAAATTCAAGCAATTTTATTAAAATCTCATAAATCAAACCACCCAAAAAAATAAAAAACCTGAAAACAGAACAGTTAAAAAAATAATAGTAAAAAAAAAGAAGAAGTTTTTGTTTTGTTTTTGTGCATCGATATATACCGCAAATTTTGATGGGAGCTTCGAGTTCGAGGAGATTGGGCTGTTGGATGAAGATATCACGAGAGGCAACACAGAGCTGCTTGATCTCAGACTCAGAAAGCTGAACAAGCTTCCCTGGCTTCGACGATCGGACTTCGATTAGCCTTTCGATTATCTTGTCCAACACTGCAGGGTCCATTCGTCCCTTCCGTTGTGCGAAATTCCACACTTACGCCGCCAACAACAAAATCGAAACCTACTTTGATCTCTCTCTCTCAGATTTTTTTGTTTTTTTTTTTTAATATGTGAGTAGTTTTGTTTGGGTTCTGATTCTTTCGGTGGAATGAAATGAGAGGCGGTGGTAGAGGAGAGACTGAGGAGGAGACTTTTTTTCGTTTTCTTGAGATGAGAAATAATAACAGCGGAAAGCGAGACCAAGAGAGGAAAAAAAAAAAAACAATATATACAATCTCACAGATGGGCGCTTCGGGACGTGGCGTGGGTTTGGGGTTGTCTGGATGACCTAAATAAGTGTATTTTTTATTTATTTTTAAAAAATATGTAAAAAAATAAAGATGTGATGTGATGAAAAAAAATAAAAGATAAATTATTTTATGTATGTCAAACTTGCCCTTAATAGTTACTTTTTAATTTATTTTGAATTATATAGAATCTCATATTTTTTTACATAATATTTTAAAAAATTAAAAAATTATTTTTAATTATTTTTTTTAATTTTTATCTTCCATGTGTTTGAAGCATAACAATGTGTACAATTTTGTTTGTGACATATCTACTTTGTATAAAATTAAAATTGATTTTGTTTTCTCGTTTAATTTTTTTGGCTCTTATAATGACTGATTTCAATTAATTTATGTTGATTTGTCAATTCATCTCTTCAACTCAATTATGTGTAACCATAAAAAATAATAATTTATTTACTAATGAATATAAAATTGAATTAATCAAGTAAGGTTAATAAACTGCAAAATAAAGTATTGAGATACCTAAAGAAATCAAACAAATGCAACCTTTATGCCATGTGCAAGTACAAAGATTTAAGAAAAGGAATTAAAGGGAATAATTTGCATGTTTATTTTCTAAACTCGATAGACCTAATTACACATGTGGCATGTTCTTGGTAGTGAACAATCCGCCACAATTTTGTTACCTTTTTTTCTTTTTAAAAAAGATTTTGAATCTTAATATCCGATTAGAAGTGTTACCATTAGAGGAAAAAAAATCTGGAGTATTTTTACACTTATCATCGACAAAAATAAGCTTAATCAACTATAACTTGGAAATCTTATTTAATACCTTTTCTGTTTGTTAGCTTGTCACCCTCTAGTGTTGAACATAAACTCCAAAATGTCAAATATCATGGTGAACTAAAATTAGTGTGCCTTGTTTCATACACATGTTTGTTTTTTAAGTTATTTATTTATTTATTTAGTGTCGTACTCCTTTCTTCCAAGCTCCTGCCTGTCCGATTGATTTGTGAGCACAACGGCGGTGAGCTACCCGGCGGTGTGTGGCCGGAATACCCCTCCGACGATCAAGTTAGACACACACAGGGATAGAGAGAGGGAGAGGATTGATGCCTCATTTGGGAATAGGCTATTTTAATAATTTTTTGGCTTTTTACGAAAAGATGTGCAAAAAAATATAGAGGTGATGTGACAACTTTTAGTAACTTTTTGACTTTTTGGCTAAAATAGCCACTCTCCAAACGAGGCCTGAGTGTTTAGTGTAAATCTCACTAAATGTTCATCTGCTTCAGCGTGGGGGGCGCGAACTCGCTTATATACCTTCTGCGCCTCAAATCTACTCCCATTAGTCTCTCGACACGTGGTGCTACTATCCCATCTGTCAACACAAATCTAGCTGAACATTACCTAACTGCCAGCCCACACCACTGGGAGCTCGGCAGCCGGGCTACAGCATCTCGGCTGTCAACGGCCGTGCTGCGCAGCTAGCTAGAGCGCTCCGCTCACCAAGCTCAATGATGATCGAGCTCGGTTGCATTCCGACTTTGCCGAGCTCGGGATAAGTCATGCTGGTTAGCCGTCAGCCTTCCTGCCGAGCTAACGCATGAACCGTGGAATCCAGTGAGGCAGCAGACATCTCGGCCGAACCTCACTTGACCGCTAGTACGACATCAATTATGCAACTATGCCATTACCGAGCAAGTAGCTCGGTTTCACAGCAACTGTGCCATTACCGAGCGAAAATCCTTCTGGATGGGCCTAGGCTGCCACGGCCCAAATGTGTTCGGCCCTTACCACGACCCAGTCCAAATCATAAATCTCCTTCTCAATTGCCCCTTAATTTCGTCTGAGCAAGCGTGACTGGGATTACCTGTTCTGTCCGGGATAACTCTTCATCGATTCACAGTCTGCTAGACGGTGACCGGGCTAGTTGACGTACCTGTCTTCAAACTTGCCCGGTCGACGCCTCGACTTGCCATCCTGTCTCTTCAGTACTGACGCCGCCGTCAATAGGGACACGTGTCGCTCGCTCATTGGCTTCGAGCAGCCAACCGTCCCTTCACATTCAAATTTTTGGCGGTTTTCCTCCCATATATACGCCATTTCCTCTTCATTTCATTCTTACTGTTCCTCCTCCATTCCAAGCGTTCCAGAGCTCCTGTGCCTCTTGCAAGCCTCGTTCCTGCCTTTCCTTGCATTTGTGTTCGAGGAGGAAGCTCCTACCCTTTACTGGTAAGTCCTCCGAGCCACCTTTTTGCTATTTTCATTTGGTATTTCACATATTAGGGCAAAAAATCCGTAAGTTTTAGGACATAATCCTCCCAAAACCCACACTTGCCCCTGTTCTCTTCGTTGTTCTTCAATCCCAGTGATGAACACATGAACACACGAAAAACTGGAGCGGACCAGGCTCCAAGTCGCCTTTTGATCCAAAAAACAATTAGACCGAGCAATTTACAAGTTTGCCAAAACCTTAGTAGAAACCGAGGTAGTCAGAGGACTTGGCCGCTTGACCGGGCTAACAACTGGTCTGCTTGAGCGACCGAGCTCCTTGGTTTGCCTTCGCGACCGAGGTGGTCTGGCACTCTTCATGACCGAGCTAAAGTCAAGCTCGTTTTGCTCGACCGCGCTTCCACTTACACTTGCCATCCTTTTCCTGCAGAGTCCAAGGGGACCACTGACCAATTACCGAGGCTCTCAAAGACCGTGCAACCATTAAACACCAGTCTGAGCCAAACCACCTCAGTCGAGCTAAACCAGTCGGCTACACATGGGCGCTTCCGCTTCCTTGTTGATACTCCGGCTGCCCTGGCCGCGTTCCGGGAAGAGTACGGTATCCCGACCGACGTCCACCTAGAGCTCGGCGAAATTGAGACAATCCCTTAGGACAGATTAGACCAGTGCCCCTTCACTGTGCTATCCATCATTGAAAGAGGCCTCCGCTTCCCGGTTAACCCACTGATGACCGAATTCTTGCGCCGCACCGGGCTAACACCCACTCAAGTCTCAACCAACACTTACTGAATAATCAACGAGGTTCACGAGTTGAACAACCGGCTAGGAACCAACTTAATTTTAGCTGAAATACTCCGTCAATACACCCTTGGGCACACGGGTGACGGCCTCGCCTAGTACTTAAAAATTTGACCGGGCAAAGAAAAAATAGTGACCGGCACCCCAGACAAGGACTTACACGACGACGACTTTTTTTTGGTGTTTGGCAACTATGCAACAGCCGACATACCGGGCTGGTTTATTAGCAAGAACTTCGGTGAGACATATAAGCCGTGCTAACTGCTCGATCAATTTATCTTTCTTCACTATTCTGTACTTGACACTTTTCTTCTTTCCTTTGCAGCGATCGAAGCCTTGCAAGCCAACTACTACTACCCCAACGAAGCAGCCATTAGGACCGTGCTCTGTTACCACAACCGAGATTGTAATGAGCTCCTCGGCTACACTCCAACATACCGGTATTCAGCTCCGTGCCGGAGTAAAGTCACTGACTTTCTCCGCGCTCTATCTCCGCCGCCAGATCCCACACTGCCAGACGTCCCCTTCATTCGTTTAACCGAAGCAGAAGAAATGGCCAAGATGAGCCACATTAAGAACTTGATCACTGCCATCTCGTTCGAGATCCCGAGCATTCCAGCCCGCTCTCCGGCTGCCGGTCAATCCAGCGGGACCGTGGTTGCGTTGGCTTCTCCCGCTGCTGGGCAAGCTAGTAGAGACTCCCGCCGGACTGGCAAAAGGCCTCGTGCAGACCCTTCTACCGAGCTAGTCACCGAGCTCAACACCAAGCAGCTTGCCGTCACCGTCGACCCAACACCGGCATGGAGGCCCCAGCTCAAACACCGGGGCGAGGAGACCCCGGCAATAGCTTTCGTTAAGGGCGACAAAGAGCATCTTCTCACATTTGACCTCACCAAGGCCCTTCTCCTACCGTGCGACGTAGTTGGCAGCGACCATGTTCCAGACACCCAGTTGGTGAAGTCGTCGGTCAAATCTATGACAAGGGTAAGAATCTTAAACTTGTGCTCAAAATTTCACCAAGTGTTTGTTCGGTTTTCTTTCTGATCAATCTCTCTTCTTGCAGGCCATCTAGAAGCAGCACTTGGTCATGGAGCGCAATCACCGGCTTCGGCAGAAGGCAACTGACTCTGCCAGCCAAGTTCAAAGCCTTCAAGCCGAGCTCGGGAGAGCCCAGTCTTCATTGCAAATGGCGAACTCCGACAACTCTCGGTTGCTCGGCCAGCTTGGCTCTGCTGAGAAGGAGAGAGACGCGCTCCGAGCTGAGCTAGATGCGCTGAAACAATCACGAGAAGAGGATCTGAAGGGTGCAAACAACGCCGGTTTCCTTGAGACCGAGGAGAGTTACACAAAGCAGGTCCGTGCCACCCAAGACATTTTCTTCAAGGCTGGGTGGAAGTCTACTTGTGAACATCTCGGCCAGGGACTGGGGACCGACGTGTTCGCCACTTATCCAGCTGCCTTCCTACTGAGTTATCTCGTGCCCTACACCAACGACATCTTCGTTGCGTTGCAGGCTGAGGCCAAGGAAGAAGGCAACGAGGAAACCGAGGAAAATGCAGAGGGGGCAAATCACATAGTTCAGCCCGGCCAAACGGAGACTGGTGTCTAAGACCAAACACCAACGGTCAACTTGGAGGCAGCCGAGGACGAATTCACTGACCTTTCCCCCCTAGCTTAGTTTTCTTTATCTTCTTTCTTCCTTTTTGGTTTACACATGTAACCGGGCTATCCGTCCCTCCTCTTGTAATTACTTTTCACATCAATGAAAAAGCTCCATTTTCTTCAAGTGTTTGCACGTTCTTCATGCTAGATAACGTCGGCTGTCAAAATACCTCAGCAAGACTAACCACTTTATCTAACTTATCTAACCGGAAAAGACATCGCGGTTTCCAACATAAAGTT